TGATTGATTGATCGGTGTATAACTGAGTTTGAGTGCCACATGAGGGCGTTACATGCTATAACAGTCTCTCGGGCCATACGTCCCTCGCTTAAAATGCCTTGGCATTTTGTTAAAACGCCTATGGCATTTGAAAATAAGTAACTCTTTATCAGGCTTGAGAACTGTCGACAGTCTAGACCAGTTACTGTAACTGAATATAGCAGTAGTGTATATATATATAAGTCCATGTTGGTATGTGAGGGGTATTGAATATTTCTTTTATCATGTTGGACAGACAAAGAGTTGGACAGTGGTAAACACTACAACTTGCGTGGGGGTGGGACAAAAAGTTGGTCTGGGGAGAGGGAAATTTCATTCAGGATGCATTCAATGTAGTAAGGGGGAGGGAACTTTCATTCAGGCTGCATTCAATATAACATTGGAGAGAGGGAACTTTCATTCAGGCTGCATTCAATATAACATTGGAGAGAGGAAACTTGCATTAAGGATGCATTAAATACAGTATTAGGGAGGGTTTTTTGTCCACAGAGAACTTTCAATTAAACCAAGAAATGCATTGCATATTGTGTAAAGTACTCACAAACAATCCTAACATTTGGTTTTGTTCGTCTGACCTTTCATAATGAGTGATTGTCATGGCAACATCTTTTGTGGGAGCAAAAAGATTTTCAATATAACTATTACCACTAGGATCATCAAGTATCTGAAAAGAATTTGAAACAAATAGAATTGATGTTTGAATACAAGATCACTCAACTATGTTTATGCAACCTCACTAGCATCTGCAAAAATAAACAAAAGTTTAATCTGTAGTCGTACAAGTTTCAAAGATTAACTCAAAAACAATTGCTACGTTCACTGACCCAAACATGGAAAACGATACGCATATGATAATAATAATAATTGCTATATTGAAATTATATCCATTTGCGGTTATGGTATTTATTATGAATCATCGTGCACATGAACGGCAAAGAAGATTCGAAAAAAAAATTCTTTTTTTTTTTCTGTAGATGTAAATATGCATCGCTGACGAGGTTATGCACTCA